CATCACCCATCACCCATCATCAACCACCATCCAACATCACCCACCATCCACCATCACACATCACCCACCATCACACATCACCCACCATCACACATCACCCACCATCACCCATCACACATCACCCACCATCACACATCACCCACCATCACACATCACACATCACCCACCATCACACATCACCCACCATCACACATCATCCACCATCACACATCACCCACCATCACACATCACACATCACCCACCATCACCCATCAACAATCCCGTCACAAATCCCGTTATATTTGTCAGATTGGTGTATCCAGACACATTTGTTGTATCAACTTGATGGACCTTTGTCTTTATTCAATAGACATGTGCACCAGCAAAAAAATTGTTTCGTTTCAGAATTTTTTTCTTTATTTTTTTTTTCGGAATTCGGGTCCGAAAGTCAAGTCGGACGGAATTCGTTAGCGGAAATCCGTACGAAATTTCGTTTCTAATTCGTTTCGTTCGTTGCAGCAAAGTGACATTTAAGAGACATTTAAAAGTTTTTTTGTTCTCAAATGTCACTTTGCTGCAACGAAATTTCGTCCAAAAAAAACGAATCGGAAATTCAGATTCGGAAATTCGGATTAGTTTGCATTCGTTATACCTGGAATTCGGAATTCGGATACATACGAATCTCCGAAATTTCGTCCGAATTTCGATTTGGAATGAAACAAATCGCACATGTCTATTATTCAACCTCAAATACTATGTAACTTGTTGAATGATGTAATATATTATATTATTATCTTACATGTTATATTATTATCACATCATTTGAATGTGTTTTTTTAATGTTATGCGTCATGCTAATAATGATACTCTTACACATTTTATAGATTATTATTTACATTGTAATATAATTATATTTATTTATACATTTTATTAACTTCTTTTTTTTTAAATCATTTTTATCTTACTCCATCCTGCTACTTTTTACAACTGTGTTCAATGTTTGTCATTCTTCATAAAGAAAATATAAATATGCTGTGTATAGGTTTTATGTTACATAGTATATAAGTAACACTGCATACTACACGGTGTGTGTCACATGATTCTCTTATATAAGAATTTGATACTAGGACATCCTAAAATTAATCTATTGAAATAAGATCTTTATTTTATGTTATTATGTTTCCCAGTCCTGATGACGGGGAGGGAGTATTGAGCCCCCAAAACGTGTTGCCTTTTTCAGGGGGGAGTGGTGACATTATCCCCTCCGTCATGTGACTGCGCTCAGTCCTAGCGATTGGCAGGATCTCGGGTGTTGGCGCCGCACATTCATCTGTCACTATAATTGTGAAGCTACTCACACCCAATTGATAAGACTCCAATAAACTGATCACTTTTACACTTATTATCTATTGATCTCTCCTTTCTTAATATGAATTTTATCTTCTAGTGCAGGTTTCTGATTGGTGGTGAAGGATCAGCACAGACAGTCTGTAATAGGGATGTGCAGATACCAGTGCCGATACTTGGCATTTTCACGAGAACTACCAGGGTTGCAACAGTTGCAGCCGGGACCTGACTCCGGCGCTCCACCGCGGTCCTGAAATCATTAGGCCTCATTCACACACAACGCAAGAGCAAAATTCTATATTGCGTACATGCGGTATATGCGCGTATATACGAGCGTATAAGCGCGCACTATGTGCAATCCCGAAATGCATCATTTGTAAAAGAAATGTTAATGAACTGTGTGCGCGTACGTGTGTATATGCGCGCAAACACGCGTATATGCGCAGAAATACGCTGCCCGGGTGCATCTCGGTTCCATTCTGTTTTTGCGCATTTATACGCTACGCAAATATACGGCTCCATACGCAGCTATGTGTATGAAGCCATTTATTTGCATGTGCTGCATATGGTACTATACGCGCGCACGCACATATACGTGCATATATGCCCGGCAGTGTGAATGAGGCCTTAGTCTGTACTGTTTTAGAAAAACTGTCACATGACAATAAACAAAAATGTACCAGTACTCGTGCTCGCAAAACTGGTATCGGTGCATCCCTTTATTTATATTTATAATAACAAAATCATACTGTATAGGACGCCAGGAATGGGTCCTGGATGGCCGGTATATCCCTCCCAGTTCTGGTAATTAAAGGGTTAAACCACCAGCCAGAGGGTGTGTTAAAAAGGAACAGGAAGCCAGTCAGTCTGGCTGTTTGGAGTGTTTGGAACAGGACACATGGATACGTGTGTTAAGTTGTGGAATACAGTCTGCCGAGACACTGCTGGGGCACCTGCGTCCATACTGGAACCCTCTCTGAGCAGGCTGGGACTCTAACCCTGAGGGTGGGACTTGGTATACAGGCGCTGAGCCGAATCTTGTGTTTGCTGAATATAAGCCCTTTACTTTGACTGTTTGTGGAAATTAATAAAAGTTTATTTTCTGATACTTCTGGCTACGGGTCCGCCCTGAATATTACAATACATTAAGACAGAGATGTACAAATCCCGGGAGCCCCGTGCGCTCCTTACACATGAGAGCCGCCTCCTAACTTTAGAATGTTTCTCTAGTCCAGTTCTGGAATAGTATCTGCACTTGTGCCAAGTATACGGTACTTGGTATCTGAACATGCCTAGTCTATAATGCAGATGTCTGTTGCTGCCCTGACCGACCAGATTGAGCTATTAATGTATCCGGAGCAGCGCGGAGGAATGATGGGTCCCCATACGCAGCGTTTCCTCACAGTACATTACAATGCTCGGCATTCATTAGACTCACCGGACAGATCCTCCAGACAGGCCGTTCCCGGTTTATTATACAGCGTCGGTTCCATGTGTAATCCACCCGTACTGGTCTCCACCGAAACATTCCCTTCACTGTCTGCCTGCGACCTGCACAAAGCAGACACAATAAACAAACTGGCAGCAGATTCATCCTACATAATTAATTGCGGTTATCTCCACAACTGTCACATCCACTCATCCCGGCCACGCCGGATCCACGCCGAGCGCTGCCCATGCCAACACTGCCAGCTGGCAGCATGTGCTACTAACCAGCTCAGAGGGTTAGAAGGAGAATGGAGAACTATAACTAGTGAAGTGGGATTTTTGGGGAGATAAAGAGGGGGAAGAATCTCCATATGTTACAGCTGTCTGTGTCCCCCCTTGTAGAGATTCCACCTGCGTCCTCATAGAGATTCCACCTCACTTCCTGTGTGGTCCCTGGGACAAGAAATGAGGGGGAAAATTCCATACCGGCTGGACTTCCTGACGTCTTTCTGTAAATGTGACCTTCAGAGAGGAAGTAAACTCTCCATTTGCATAGAAGGTCCACCTTAACAAATTCTGTGAGAGCGTATTACACTCTCGCAGCTCAATTCACACAAAGCTCCATTGACAAGGTAACACAGCAGGATAAGGATACTATTTTTTTTTTTAAAGTGACAGTTATTTTTTAGTCCAATGAGATTTGAAAATTACAGTCACATGGCTACTTAAATGTGAGCTAAAGCTTTGTGAATGGAGCCTGTGGTGTGAGGTCTCCTCCATTCAGGTTGAACTGACCCTTAGGCCCCATTCACACTGCGCAATTTGCAAATCGCGCGTTTGTCGCGCGCTTGGCATTTTGCGCGATTTGTCGCACGATATCGCGCAAATGCTTGTATTGCAAAGAATAGAATCGCTGCAAAATCCGCTCCAAAAAGGGTCCTGCTGTAGCGACGCACGACCCGCGACAGCAGGACCCTTTGCCCCATTGCCTTGCATTGGAGAGCGATATCGCGCGGTAAATTTGCCGCGATATCGCGGGAATTACCGCGCGATAAATCGCTCAATGTGAACGGGGCCATAGACTTGTATTGTCATTAGAGGAGCAGTGAAGCACATCCGTGGCAAATATCCAACTGAAATAAAGATTGCTATTTGCAATTCATTTTCAGCATTCCAGAGCTTTCCTAGAAGGACATTCTCGTAGTCCTGACCCGCAATGGTCACCGGGGGGCGCTCTGGCTCAGTTTAAGCAGACAAGTGGGGATGTGTGTTGATATTAGGAGTCATCCTATTTACACAGGTTGTTCAGATTTCTGGTCTGTAGCAAAGGATTAAACAATGTATTTCCTACCAAGCCGAGCCTTCTTCTCCAGGAACTCCCCCCACCCTTTAACGATCAGCTCCCCAATGCCCCGCAGGTCATTCCAGACAGACATCCGGGTGCAGCGTACTTAGAACCAGTTATAGGAGAAGCCCTGTAGCCGTTCTTCAAGATTTAAAACTCTCACTCTATGTTAACCAGTTCAGCTCTCACACCTTTACACTTCTGCTAAGGGCCGGTCTATTCAGCAATAACTTAAGACGTATGTCATAATACATACATTTGTATTTAGGCTAAACAAGGCTTTCTTTTGGCGATTTTTTTTCTACTTTGATCGGTGTTAGTTTAAAAAAATAAATAAATACTGTAAAGAAGAAAACTACATTTCAATATTAATGGTTAAAAAAACCAAAAATGGTTAATGAGAGAAAGGGAAGAAAGAGTTATATAGGGCTGATTAGAGTAAACTAAGGATTAATGAGGGGTTAAATATATATATTTTTTTTTTTTTTGATGTGCACATTAATTAAACTAAATATAAAAGGTAACAATGTTACTTTGTATCTCTCTATCTCCCTCTGATCAATGTTTATAAACAATGTTACTTTGTATCTCTCTATCTCCCTCTGATCAATGTTTATAAACAATGTTACTTTGTATCTCTCTATCTCCCCTCTGATCAATATTTATATACAATGTTACTTTGTATCTCTCTATCTCCCTCTGATCAATATTTATATACAATGTTACTTTGTATCTCTCTATCTCCCTCTGATCAATGTTTATAAACAATGTTACTTTGTATCTCTCTATCTCCCTCTGATCAATGTTTATAAACAATGTTACTTTGTATCTCTCTCCCCTCTGATCAATGTTTATAAACAATGTTACTTTGCATCTCTCTATCTCCCTCTGATCAATGTTTATAAACAATGTTACTTTGTATCTCTCTATCTCCCTCTGATCAATGTTTATAAACAATGTTACTTTGTATCTCTCTCCCCTCTGATCAATGTTTATAAACAATGTTACTTTGTATCTCTCTATCTCCCTCTGATCAATGTTTATAAACAATGTTACTTTGTATCTCTCTATCTCCCTCTGATCAATGTTTATAAACAATGTTACTTTGTATCTCTCTATCTCCCTCTGATCAATGTTTATAAACAATGTTACTTTGTATCTCTCTATCTCCCCTCTGATCAATGTTTATAAGCAATGTTACTTTGCATCTCTCTATAGCCCTTTGTACAGAAGGTGAATCTCCCAGACAACTATAAGAACCTGATATGGGCACTTTTAACACTTTCAGCAGCTCAGCTTACTCTGCTCCCCCCTCCCAGCAATGACCTGCCTTGTAAACTCTAACGTAAACAGGTGCACAGGAAAAAAAAGGTGGGAGAGCAGAGTGCTGAGACCCAACCTAATGGATTTCACCTCTTCTCTGGTGAACTTTAAGGATCATTTGCTCCACAGTGCCAGCAGCTACATAGGTCATTGACAATTGGTGTTAAAGTTTAATTACTGCCTGATAAGAATGTGTCAATATATCAATGTCAATAGCCCCATGGCCTGTTCACAGTTCTACTCTACGGCCGGGCCTGAGCACAAAGCTGGTTTAATTATGTTCTAACCGCACACGTTACCTGTACATGAAAGGCGCTACGGTGGCCGTGTTTGGGTGATTATACTGCTGCTGAGGTTGAGGTAGCTGGACACTGATTGTGTTACTTCCTGTCGTCTGTGTATTTCCACTGGGCCCATTAGCAGGCTGGGCTCCGCCTGTTGTGGACACCCCCTTCCCCTCAGAGGAGGCCAAACTAGATGTAGAGCTTGAATTCCGATTGTCAAGCTTCTGAAGAGACAGCCCAGAACTGGTCTTCCGGCTCCTGTCCCCGTCCTTGGCAGAGATTGGGGCACTTGAGGACTTCCCTGGGGTGGCAGTTTTAATCCCTGGTTTTGGTATTCCACTGTGAGGGGCAGCAGAGCCCTCCTTCTTGCCCCCTTTGGGGATGAAGCTGGCAATCTTTGAGGATTTTTTTGGCATATCGGCGGAAGCAGGGACAGGTTCCTCTTTTGCTTCTTCTTTGACCTCCGGCTTTTCCGTCACGGAGACCCTCTTGGCGACCTCTTTGTTCTTTTCTTTTTCTTTCTGTTTGTCCTTTTCCTTCTCACTGCCTTTTGGAGAACTTTTCTTGTTTGTCAAGGCCCGGCCAAGCGTCCTTTGAGCGATGCCTTTGAGCGCTATCTTGGGACTGTTCGAGGATGGGCTTGTGCTGTTGGGGTTTCTTACAGAGGTCTCCATCACCTCGGCCTCCTCAAAGCTCGGAAGGGGGTCCAGTCTTTCACTGCTGGTATCCCGGGAGCCCTCTAGGCTGCTTTTAGAACCCCCCTTGCTATTGAACAGTTTTAACTTCTCCAGCATAGATTTCTGATTGTTGGGAGCGGGTTTGGGGGGTTCTTGAGGTTGTTTAGGGCTGTCCGGCACGGGCTGCTTGATGGACAGTATGGAAGACGTGTTGGTGTGCTTCGCACTAAGGGATTTGCTCCTCCAAGGTTTATTTGCAGAGTTAGGCTGGGGTATGGCTGAGTTGTTAGTGGAAAGCGTTGAGAATCCATTTTCATTCATTCCCGTCTGCTGGGAAACAGCACTCTCTGCTGGCTCTGCAAAGACACCGAAAACATCCGGGGACATTACTTTCAGAGTACAAACACCTTACACTGAATGTCTACACAGAGCATAGAAAACCATAACGTTACATCTTTGGAATGCTTTTATTTGGTACAGAAAACAAATTGCATCCTTGAAGACTTTTAGATGTGGTAGCTGCATGAGGTTTCTTTTTCAGGGTTTTTTCCCTTTATCTTTACCCGTGATCCTGCCAGTGACACATTCCCTGCCCTAGGGTGATGACGCTCACTCGCTGTACTGTATCTATGGATCGATGGTGTTGTCACCTTAGGGCAGGAAGTATGTTAGGACTACAAACGATCTTCTCTTACTGTCATCAACATAACATAGAGAGAAGATGTTCTAAAGCCTCAGTGATATCATCAATTGATTAGATTGCTCAGATTGTATACAGTCTAATGACAGTTCCAAGGAAAGGTCTAAATTCCAAACACTTTACATAATGATATTGGTTCACAGCAGTGTAGCACAACAACGCATTCATTTCGGGGGCCAAACAAATCCTCCTTCATCTGGGCTTATAATCAGACCGTAACCTGGATGGACTCTAGGTAAAAATCATTGCTGGCATTCAAAGAACCCCAAAAACTAACTGGGAACTCTACCGTTTCGAGACCAAAGATGGGGGAACTCTACCGTTTCGAGACCAAAGATTGGGAACTCTACCGTTTCGAGACAAAAGATTGGGAACTCTACCGTTTCGAGACCAAAGATTGGGAACTCTACCGTTTCGAGACCAAAGATTGGGAACTCCACCATTTCTAGACCAACGATTGGGAACTCCGCCAATTCTAGACCAATGATTGCGAACTTCACCAATTCTAGACCAAAGATTGGGAACTCCGCCAATTCTAGACCAATGATTGGGAACTCCACCATTTCTAGACCAACGCTTGGGAACTCCGCCAATTCTAGACCAATGATTGCGAACTTCACCAATTCTAGACCAAAGATTGGGAACTCCACCAATTCTAGACCAATGATTGGGAACTTTACCGTTTCTAGACCAATAATTGATAATCTATACTAATGGTTGGATAGGTGTGACTGCACCTGCCTCTTTGTGACCGTTCACACTCAAGTTAACATTTGGGTGATAAATGAACTTCCTAAGAAATTAATAACTTCTTATACTGCGGAGATCATTTGCTAAACATTAATGGAAAGTTGACCACATCGGCCTCTGTGGAGGACACAGGTCACAACTGCCAAATGACAAGAAAGTCATCTAGAGGTAAATTAGTAACTGACTCACAGTGATAAAGCTACAGAGATGTCCTGAGAAGTCTAAGACCCAGCAGCTGTTATTGGACAGACTCCCGGAAATTACAGACTCCTCACCTAACCTTTTTAGGGTGCTGTGCCCCCCCAAATACTGTCTGCTGAGATTCTGGCTTCAGATCTTTAATGAAACAGAGAAGAATTTCCCTGGAGTGGTTAATTTTTCCACATTTTAATTTAAGATAGTGTTATTTTAAATCTGACCTCTGTCCTCCCCTTCAGTCTTCTATCTGACCTCCGTCCTTCCCTTCAGTCTTCTATCTGACCTCCGTCCTTCCCTTCAGTCTTCTATCTGACCTCCATCCTTCCCTTCAGTCTTCTATCTGACCTCCGTCCTCCCCTTCAGTCTTCTATCTGACCTCCATCCTTCCCTTCAGTCTTAATATAAGCATGTTAAACCTCAGCTTTAAGTGTGCTCTTCTTTGTTCTCATGTTTATTTCTTCAAACGTAATAAAATAACTTGTAGCCGTTTGAATTCCATTTCATACAGACATAGTAAAGTCAGACATTTCTGGTGTACTTTGACATCAACACAGCTTCCTAGACTTTGGATTAGGTGATACGACTGCAGGATGATGTCACTCATTCACACGGGTGAATCACCGGAGGTGTTATAATGACACAATGAATCTCTCACCCACTAGAAAGACTTTCAATGTATCCCGTCGGATCCTTCCCGGGAACATAACACGCGCGGAAAGACTCCTGGTAACCCGAACGCCACTTCTTCTGCCGGGATGAAGTGACAACGTGCGTTTTATCGCTCAGCGGCTGGACCAGAACGGCGATAATGAGTCTGTGAGCGACGACACACCGAAACCCTCGCGGAACATTTTACTACAAGCGAAGGGATTGCCTGAAAACAGACGCAGCGCTGCGCGGCGGGGATTATAATAAAATCGGTCACATCTGCTTTTTCCTCGTTTTCCTCCTCGCGGTGAATGAGAAGCTTCGCGAGTCTTGGAAGCGATCCGGGG